TATTAAAATTTATTTAATTAATTAAAATTGCGCCAACAAAGTACAATCCGTTGCAGAGGAAGAACGGAACAGTTCTAGAATTGGTGAAATTTACCAAGGCAATTTCTTCGCTTGCAATCCCATTTTTTAAGGCGTACCCTTATCGTTGTCCACGTTTCCGTTCAGAAAAAACGTTCTCATTGTTGAATTCACTGAAACTCGAAGGGGACCTTAATTACCGCTTTCCCGTCGTAGCGCACGGCCAAATCCGTTCGGACCGGTTCGTCACAGAGAAACGTTTAATGAAATTTCCAAATACGGTGGATGGTTTAAACGGCGCGTCGCGTCGCGACGGCTCCGACTTCCTACGTTCGTATATGTATACGTACATAGCCGTTGCGCATTGCAGCAACCCCACTCTACAAAACGCCACGCTCTCTCCTCCGCGCCCACAGAGCTGTAGCCGTAGCATGTAGCTAATGCAGCAGCTGGCACACGCGGTGCAGTTACAATTCCGCGAACCCAACTTCCGTGATTGCGCCACGCACCGACGACACTTAATTGCTTCAACCTACGACTTTTTCATTCCATATCCAAGCTTAATTTCTTCCATCGTTCCACCGGGGCTGAGCGCTTCCGACGGATCCTTTCGGAAATGGGCTGAAAAGCAATCCTTTTTTTTCAGTGAATTGTTGCCTCTCGGCTGGGAGCTGGTGCAGCAGTGCTAGAGATAAAACTAATGTAATAAACGAATATCCTACGTTTATGTAGTGAAAGGAAAGTTTTAAGGTAACAGAATTTCTAAGGTAAGAATTAAAAATTACAAATAAAGAAAATGATCAAATCAGTCAATTTTTAGTTACTAACAGAAATTTTGTAAATTCTATAAGCTCTGTTCTCTCTTTTAACTCTCTTCTTTGTTATTATTGTGCTGAGAAAATAGAACTGACGTAGTAGTGGAATTATGTACAAACAATAATATGAAAATAGATAAATGAATTACAAAACAGAAAATAACAAGTCTTCATTAAAAAGTGTTTCTCTACGTTGTTAAATTGTAAACGTTTTCTTAAGATGAAGTGACACGACCCTTGAAAGATACTCCCGCGCGACGCGACGGCCGCAATTGATCCCATAAAAGCCAAGATCGTCGGTTGCTGTAAATAACTCTCATCTAACTATTTTTCCACAGCGTTCGTGCTTGAAATGCATCACGCTATCGCGTATATGTATAGATAGGTGTCCACGCGCACAAGACCGGTCGTGTGTAGGAGGAGGGGTTGGTTTTGCATGCGCTTAATCGGCGCGAGGAATCAAACCTCTCCTCAAGGTCGCATTCTTCAGCCCCATCGGCTCTCCACTGACGCAAATGAGCTCCTTACATAACCACCCCCGAGTTTTCGATGCT